TAATAAAATATTGTGCGATTATTTTCATATAATTAGAATTAATATGTATTTATTTTTTTATAAAATACAAGGGAAGTGGTGCTTTCACCGCTTCTAATGACGGCATGCTACTGTCAGACACTCTTTTATTGCATTATTATATACCTTTGTTAAATATCGTCTAGGTTATACTTAATGATTTACATAAGCTTATAATCGATTAGAACAAAGTATAATCTTATTACAAAAATTTTAATTCATCTCTCATAACCTGTTATTAATTATGCAAAATAATAAATAGGTGTTATTACTTTATCCAGGAATAGAATTTGAATGATATTTATTTTAGAGCATTGACAAGAATAGGATATTACATTTGCAATGAAAAAAAGTACTGTATATGAAAATATAGTTCAATAATTTTACTGTCTAAATTATCACAGCTCAAAGAATTATGCCATTAATTAAAATATAGATTATATTAAAAGAACAGAACTCTTAAATATACAAGTAAAAATTAAAAGGTAACAAAAGTAATATTTCAAACAGTAATTAAAAGTTTTTAACTACAGCAAAGCATCGATTATCCGAAAGTCAATTATCCGAAAGAATTCCAGTTGGCGAATTTAAATTTTCGCTAGTGCTGTGGCCCTGCAATCTTTGGCTATGTCTTGGGCTACTCAAATATTTTACGTTTTTGATACTAAATTAACTTCTGAAGTATAATTTTTTATTGTTTTTATATTTTTTAATATATTTATTTTTTGTTTGTACAAAATAAAAAAATAATTTTTAACGATACAATAGTCTTCGTTAGGCTTAACATCGACGAAAATTCAATGCAAAGCGACACGAAACGGAAAAAAATTTCAACACTAGATAGGTTAATATATTTTTTTATACATAATCGGTTATCCGAAATATTGATTTTTTTCCCGAACAACCCCAGTCCTCAATTGATTCGGATAATCGACGCTCTACCGTATTATTTATTACAACTTCAAAACAAAGTTTTTTTTACGTGACTCATACCTTTTCAAATAAAGTATTGTACTGTAAATGATGAGTTTTTATAGCATTTATCATTAAAATTTCTGCGCGTAATTTTTAAAGATGGACGACGTTGTGATAGTTATAACAAAATTAATGTGTTCATTATATAAAAAAATACAGTAACAGGCGTTATAAAAAATATTTGCGTGATATCGAGCTATTTATTTATTTATTTACGGTTTATTTATTACGGTTATTCTTCATTACATCTAAAAATATGTAAACTTTTAAATAAAATATGATAACAGGTGGCATCGCCATCTGTTGCCAGTAAAGTTAAGCAACTCGTTGCTTGATTGTTTTTAGTAAAGTAAACTACTTTTAACCAATGGGATTTCTTGATTCAAAAAATGCTTGGACCTTATTATGTTATAATGTGCCATTGTTGCATAACCCTTTATTGCCTGAATTTTCATTTTTTGATAAAACTTTTTATATTTCTCATTTTATCTTCAGAAGAGGTGTTTATTAACAGATAAGTAAGTAAAAAAATTAAAATGTAAATTAAAATTTTTTAATTATCGGACTTATTGGTACCGTGAAACTTTAGAGCACATTTGGACTTAACAAGTTTTTTCTTGTGTAGTGTGTAGCTTCTGTGTAATCCAAAACGAGTTGGTAGACGAACGGACAGCAATTGGTTAGAAAACATACGTTTTATTTAAAAAATTCTTAATTCATATGCATTTCGGGTTGGCTTATATTCCTAACCCCTCTTCAGTGCTGTTAAAATTACACAAAAAAAATAATTTAAGGTTAGTTTTACGACATTGGCTAGTAGGAACATAACTAAAAACGCGAGGTGATGATAACATAAAAATGCTTACTTGACATATAATGGTACAGCATAGATGTATTTTACAAAATTTTTAATTACATAGTAGTATGGTATAGCCTATGATATGAAAAAAGTGGTATAAGGGGAAGGCTGTTTAACATATCATTTTTATGAAGAACTGTATAACATAGAATATTAATTTAAAAAATATCAATGCACACTTACATTTTAGTTAGAATGTATTATTTCCGAATACAAAAAGGAACATAGTACAAAACATTTTTAACAACTGGTCTTATCTGTTGTTCGCTTAGTAACAGAATACCGACAAGTAATGTTATATAAACAGTTACCCACATTCCGTACACGGGGGTTGTGATTTAAACAATCTTTAACGCGTGGAGGCGTTCTCTATGAGTTTGTACCATTGGGGGTCTATGGACATGCCTTCTGAAACATTAATTAAGTTTTCTTTAGGGTGTTTTTTGATTTCTATGTGTTCTTTAAATTTTCTTTTATATGTGTCTTTTTCTACATGTAACACTTTTGTATTGTTTTTATTAATTTGGCAATTATAGTCTATTGTGTGGTAGTACCAGGGGGAAGTGTTATGTTTTAGGCGGATGGCTGCCATATGTTCTTTAATTCTGGTTTCTAGTGACCGGCCTGTTTCACCAATATAAGTTTTTGGATTTTGACAGTTGCATTCAAGTTTGTAAACAGTTCCTATAGTTTTAAGGGCGTTTAGTTTGTTGTTATGTTGTTTATTAATGTCATAATGGATACTATGAGATATTTTGTTGGTCAAAGATGGAGCCAAACTGATATTGTCTTTTTTTAATGACTTATTACAGCCTTCAAAAATGTTTTTTATATATGGGAAGGTTTTGTATTTTTTGTCGGATTTATATTTTGTGTTAAATCTATTTTCCCAGTATTGCTTTTGCCATGTGTTTAATTTCGATTTAGGAT